GCTACATTTGGGGCGTCAAAAACGGCTGCAAGACGGCTTCGGCTCTTCAAAGGGCTTGGGCTTGTCACTTCCTGCTTGATTTTGGAGATCTCTTCTTCCACTCTCTCCTCTATCGCCTTGACGCCATGATCCAACTTGCCTAACCATTCCTCCACTTCTTGTACCCGTTCGACGGCCTTTTGCAGTCCCTTCGTGAAATCCTTATGCATGTCTTCCAAGCGACGCGCTTGCTCCTCTTGGCGGCGAGCTTGATCTTCTTTCAGCTCCCGTAGCTGTTCTTCTTGGCGGCGCGCTTGCTCTTCTTGGCGGCGCGCTTGCTCTGCCATCATTTGCTGCAGCTGTAGCAGAAGATCCACCTGCACAGGCTTGGCTTCTGCATCACTGGTTTGAGCTGCAGCACCCTCTTCCCTCGCACGCTGCGCTTCTGACATTGCACGGGTACTCACTCCTCTTACGTCCTGCGGCACTAGCGGCATTTTTCTCCAATCCCACTTCTGACACCAAATGTTACGTGCCTGACGTCACGTTCCTGACTATGCGGGCTTGGGTTACGGGATTGGATGAAATAAAACACTAATACCGGTTTTAGACTTTCTATTGCACTTAGATGACAGCGTCTACGGAGTTAAGTTATCGGCGTTCCTCTCCAGCAGAGTCCGGGCGACTGACACAAACTTCCGTTTGCCGCTCACTGTTCACGCTGACTTTCACTTAACTCACTGCACTTCACTATTTCACTGCACTGCACTATTTCACTCACTTTTCTTCTTTTTCACTTCTTCCTTTTCTTCCGAATCGCTTTGGACTTAGAACTCAACTGCCAGCGGTGAGCCGCAGTTCCGCTTATATACCCCCGGTCAGGTTCTGGAACATTCAATTTCGTTATTCTTTTTGATCGTCATGCCTCCAGAACCTTCCAATAATTTCGTTATTCATTTTTATTTGTTCTCCTTCTCGCTCTTTAATTTTTCATTTCTTTCACACAAATAATTCCAGAAAGTTCAACAAAACTTCCATCAACTAAAAAACTTCATGTTTACGGCGGGACTCGAACTCGGGGTCTCTGTGGTGTAATCCACACGCCTTACCGATTACACCAACTCGTGTTGACAATTCACGACGAAATTTACAATCTCTAGGCAACATTTGACAACCATCCATTGACGTCATGATGTCAAAGAGTTTGAACCACTTTTCCGTCACATTATTAAAGAAAAAAGAAATAAAAAATGTTTGGACAATTATCGTTACCATATTAAATACAGAATGGAGCAAGTATGTATAAGTGATGTTTGTGTGTGTGTGTGTGTGTGTGTGTGAAAGAGAGAGTGAGTATGTGTGAAATTACTTGGTGAAGGTAAACATCGTATGGAAACCTTTCATTTTTTAAGAAGTGAAAGTCATCAAATGTGTTTTCCCGATATGCGTAAGAGAGGAAATATCAGACTTGCGATTATTTCAAGTTTGAAATTGCCAATCCACCTTAGCATATTACGTGGTGATTAATGTTCATATTTTTTTTCCTTGTGAAAAGTGGCGTTTTATCTGCAATCAACTGATTGTAGTATAATTATAAGTTCTTTTTTTTTATTAAAAAAACGTTGCTACACACTAGGATTTTCATGATGACATGTTGATGATGAGGACAATGATAATGGAAATAGACTCACATACACATGGAATTGACTAGAGCTAACAACATAAAGAGCCTTGGATTAATATGTGCCTACGACACAGTCCATAAAACAGAAGACATTCAGCCGTTTCCCTCAGGCTCTGTTTAATAACACTCTTAAAAATTCGTCCCAAATGTTGGCTTTTCGGTTCAGTGCAATTTTGTATGGTAATAGCGCCGTAAGGTGTCAATAACAGAGGCCTGAACACTACCTTAGGGAAATCCTACTAAAATCCATTTATATGCGATGGGAATTGATAGGTAAATGTGGACCCGTCGAATTTCAATTGTAAATGGTAACTTTTATTTGAGAATCAAAAGGAGTTACAATAAAATGTAGGTAATGAGAAAAAAACTCGAATAATTGACGTATTTACTCGTATTAAGTTACACATTAGCATAATGACTTTTTATTTAAAGTTGTTGTCTGTTCATTGTTCACAAGGGCACATATTACTTAGTTAAAAGATGTGATGTTAAGTTTTTTTTTCGGTTCACAGAATTCACTATACGACTTTTAAAATTTCATTTAGAATTCTGGGGTTCAGTCATGTAGTATATGACAACATATACAATCACATCTTATAATAACGCACTGTTATTAGGAACTAGGTAAAGAACTATGTAATAAAATATAAAATCTGAATTACATACACTTCAAATTTTGTATTTCTGGATCACACAAAGAATAGTTCCAGTGCACTTGTACTTTGAACTCGCTTGACCGACTTTGCATTTAGGAATATATATCACTGTCTATTAACATATTACGTAGTAGGTAATTGCTAAATTAGTGTAGCCGTTACAATTTAATTAAGTTATATTGTATTAGGTATTACGAGTTGATACTGTATGACAACTAGGAGTTTAACTCGCCCGCTCTTGTGCAATGAGAGTTTATGTGCAATGGTACCTGGCGAGTACCAATGTGACTTTTTACAAGTTATATATTATACTTTCTATGATTATTTAGACATCACTGACACACAGCGAAGGAAAACATCATGAGGAAACCTGAACTTATAATTTCTAGTTATAAGTTTGAAATAGGTAATATGCCTTGAGCAAGCGGTGATAAATGCTCAAACCTTCTCCTTGTAAGAATGAGGCCGTTGCTCGGCAGTGGGCACTTACTTACTGATGTTGTACCTATACTAAAAACTAGAACATTACCACTACATACTTAAACTAGAATTCGGTAACTTCGATTCACTTGTTATCACTTGATGATCGAAAATTTGAAATCAGTGACATATACGCATACATATGGTCTTAAAGAGCTAGTTAACAAACAGGTATTTCGTATTCTGTAAAAATATGACATTAAATTATTAAAAAAAAGTAAAACAAGAAAATGATTGAAAATGACATGTTGGATATATAATATTCCAAATTTAAATTAAATTTTTCTTATACTAAAAACATGGAAGGCATTCGACTTAGAATCCTAGGCAAAGTTTTTAATAAAAATTATTTATAGAAAATGGTGTCAGGCAAGAGTGCAGTTCTATAAAACTAGTATCTACTTATATGACTTATATAAACAATAAAAATATTGACTTTGTGATCGTTATCCAAGCCGCAAAGCTTTGGCAGAACGCCAACTAGGAAGCAATCATAAAATTAATATTTGCTTTCGTTATTTTCATTAAGATATATCTTCGTACAGTGCAGATATTATTTTTATGTGGAGACAAATAATAAACTAAAGAAAATGAATAAATGTTTGTAGTCGTACTCTGAACTAAAAACCAAAAACCCGTTTCTTCTTCTGGTCGGAACTGGGCCGCAGTACATTATTCGATTGACATCTGGCTAAGTGGTCTTGTCTGCTGGTCTGCTTGTCGGCTGGTCGGCTGGTCAGCTGCTCTTGTCATGTTAAGCTCTGGTTCTGGTTGGGAGGCGAGCTCGAAGTTCCGTGCGTGAGTATGTTGGCCGGAGATCGTCTCGAGCTCTCTAACTCTGATAGGAGCGAGGATCGTTGCCTCATGCGTTCTGCCTCCTTTTTCCAAGTTCTCTTGATTCGCATTTCGTGTTATGATCTACCTAAATTTATTTACTCCCAGTAAATTCACGTGAGTAAATCGTTATTTTCAATAAATTTAGTCTAACGATAGTTTGGTACTATTCAAAAAAATATATATCTACTTAAATAAAAATCAAAATATAGGGGACAGTCAGCAATAAATGACATTGTAACTACCAAAAGGAGGTAAGTTTAAGACCAATATTGAAATTGATAAAACGATATTGTAGGTTACTGGGTGAAACTAAACGATACCTAAGTTAAAAAATAAATAAAAATAAGTCTACGATTTCATAAAACCAAAATGGAGGCATGAGCAACCAAACTTGTCACCAACGCAATTATCGTTACTCACAACTCACCAGAAATTCGAGCCTCTAATTCCATAACACTTTATTAACTTTAATTAGAAGTTATTTACTAAGAAGCCAAGCACAAGTGACCCCTAATTAGCTTCGGAAACTTCTCTAAAGTTTGTGAGTCTTAAAAAGGATTAAAGATTGGTCCTTAGGGTTTCAATCCATACTGAAATTCTCGTGACGAAGTTCCCTTGACCTTAGTATAACGAAGTTTGAATCACTTTGAATTAACAGCTCTAATGACTAGTTAGTGTTAAGCTAATCTTGTTTCGTCCTGTCACTGATATTGATATTTACTTTGTGTAATTACACCCGATTTCATTAGCTCTTCTCAGTATTTTGGTTATGGCGAGGATTTAGGGTAATATGAAAATGAGTTTTACTTTTGCACGGTTTCACCCGCTGCTCGGCTCCATTTAATCGTAGTGTGATGTTTTATAGCCTATAGCACTCAGGAACATTGTAGCTATCCAGCAGTGAAAGAATTGGCAATCAGATCAGCGGTTCCAAAGATAACCCCTTACATACAAACTTACAAACATAGAAACTTACAAATGTTACCTCTATTATTATAGATTGAATATTTATATTAGTATAGATTGAAGTCGAGGCTATATAGTGATTACATATTGACATATGTGCTGAATAAACGAATTTTTCTGCACCACACTGGGGTTAAACATGAACAACAGCTGCTATTAACGCAATTACAGAATTAACATGATTGCAGATAGCAAAATGGCGCTCTTTTGCATGATTGGTACATGTTTTATCTACCAACCTACATGCAATAACTAGGAATCACCCGCTCAGTAACACAGCCTGCGGCCCCTTGGGCAGTTGTTACGATAAAATATGACATTGTTCGAAAAAAATAACAACTTTAATAAAAACGAAGTAAAAAAGGAGCTATCTAACACGAAGATTTATCTTGTTTCAGGTTTCAGAGGAGAAGACAAAAAATATTACTATAAACGATGACTTTGCGGTACTGAGGATTTTGTGAAGATTATTATATTGAAACAGTTTTGTGAAAATGTCCAACAAATCACATACACTTTTGGAAATATTCCAAGAGATTCTGGCTGCATCCGGCAATGCTTCGGATAACAGTATTAATGAGACACAGATCGTGTCTGTGCTGCGGGAGCAGGCGAACCGAGGTGCCAGTGGGAGTGAGATGGAGTCTCTTTTAGTGCGGATGATGAAGGATGCCAAGAGTAAACTTAATTTGACTTTGAAACCGGACACTTGTGGCTACTGTGAGGGCGACTTCAGAGATATCATTATGGCGTACAATGGGATTCATGGATACGTTAGTTTACTGGTAAGTACCTATAACATATACTTTGAGAAAGGAAAAAATTAAGCTCTTGACTGCTTACAGAAAACTATTGAAAGCAAAGAGTCTCATAGCGTTGGTCACTGGTGACCTACGTGGCGGTTGACGTGTTAAATATAAAAATGTAGGCGTATTTTTTTTATGTGATAGTTCGGCAAACGATCATCCGGATTTCCTGATGGTAAGCAATAGCAAGAACATAGGAGTTACGAGTGTTTTGCCGAACTTTTGTGGATTAGGGATTTGAAGATTTAGGGTATGGGGGAGGGAAAGGATTGGGCTTCGTATATTTTAAAATTTAACGTGTATTTTAAATGACAAAGAACTGAAGATAATTGTGGTTTATACAAATTACATTATGCTAACTATCATAGCTCTGAATATTGCAAACGACGTTAAAATACCAATACGAATTTACTCGTAAACGTTGATTGTACGCGTATTATTCAGAAAGTAATAAAAAACATTTTCTGTTTTATTGATATCGCATGTCAAAAACAGGATGAATCAATTTAATGGAATTGGATTTACTAGTTATCGATGTTAAAGTTTAAGCAGTATTTTTTTGTTATTTACTAGTAACCCAATGCAATGCTACAATGTAATGCTGATACTAAATTTCTCGACTATTTAATAGATTTATTATAAATATGAACCTTACTCTTCAATTTAAAACTCTATCTATTTAAAAATACGCATCAAAATTCGTTCCGTACTTTAAAAGAAGTATACATAGATATAGGGAACATAACATAAACAGCGTAAAAAACTGGTAGAACTATTCTAGTCTTAAACATTTTTTAAAACACGTTGTCGATGCACATATCGACCATCGACATCACCTACGGCCGCCAGAGGGCAGCACGGGCCGGGCGAGACGCGCGGCGAGGGGTCCTACCGTGTCCGCCATCGGCACTCCGCACAGCACATAAATTTACAGTCCACTTAAATATATCTTTTATTTAAACTACAGACCTTAACACACGTGGATGTTTTTCAGTGGCTGGGTCAATGGCTACTGTGTAAAGTGTCGCGTGTTCTATTCCCGCACGGAACAACACTTTGTGTGATCCACAAATTGTTGTTTCGGGTCTGGGTAGCTTGTGTCACATACACAATTTGTATGATTGTAAACTCACCAACAACACAGGAGAAAATCCTAGTGTGGGGCAGTGTTTTATATTAAAGAAAGAAAGTAAAGAATTTCCATTTTCTTATCCTTTTTATCATTCTTAGGAGGAACGGGTACAGGCAATATATATTACAGGCAAATAATTTTTTTTTTCTTGTCGCTCAAAAATCTTTACGGAAAAACATAACATAATCTTCTTAAAGACAATGGAAATTTCGCGAAAGCTTTCCCTGTATACTCGTAGTAGTAAATTAAAATTAGGATATTTAATCAATGCCATACCTATTTTTCCTCAACCATCCTCAACTCACCCAATGTCTAATCTGAGTAGGTAGTCATAAAGTTCCTTACGTCACTTTTTTTTTTTTTTTTTTGGTGTCGGGTTGGAAAATCCTCATGGAGACCCACCGCCCTCGGGGTAAGGGCGAAGGGTACTGTCAGACTCTTACTGACTAAAAACCAACCCGGTGTTCCTCCAATAACCCATGTGTCGGAGGGGCGGGTATCGCCGAAGCATTCGTCGCAACCCCCCGACGGGTACTGGCCCGCCAGATGGTAAGGCGGGCCCCGTCACCCACTGCGGCCGTCACCCCGACCGCAGGACTCCACTATGAGGCGCGCGCGGAACACGGCACCGCCGCCTCGAGGCCTGCTGCTGGTCGGACGACTAGACGCCCCGAGTCTGTCGTCCGCAGGCCGCGCCCTACGGTGGCCGCAGGTCGGCCACTCTATGACGTCTAGTGCGTCTGCTGCGGGAGGGAAGAGAGGAGGCAGCCTCTCTCTCCCTTTCCGCCGCCTCCTTTGCGAGCATCACGGCCTCGCAAAAGATAGCGACGGCACTCCACCCTGACTCGCTCCCGACCATAGTAGACACTACAGCCGGAAGCGAGAGATTTCCCGCAGCACCTACGGCCGCGACCAGGTCACGGCGCTGCTCGGCCCAAGCTGGACATTCCGCCAACGTATGCAGCGCCGTATCGTCGCGGCAATTACCACAATGGTGGCACTGAGACGTCGGCTCCCGGCCTATGCGACACAGGTACTTCCCGAAACACCCGTGTCCGGTAAGCACCTGCGTCAGCCGGAAGCTGAGGGCGCCGTGGCTCCTATTGAGCCACTCCTGTAGAATTGGCCTTACCGCCGCTATAGCGGCGTGCCCCGCCGTGGGTTGCGCTAAACGCGTCTGCCACTCCGCCACTAAGGCCTGGCGGAGTTCTGCCCTGCGTGCCTCAACCTGTCGAGGCACCAGGCGCTCGCCCCGTTCGACTGCCTCCGCACGCCACCAATAGAGTGACGCGAGGAGCTTTGCGTCGAGGTCCCAGGGCGGGGATCCGGCTAGGAGGCTCGCTGCCTCAAAGGAGATCGTACGGTATCCCCTTATTATCCTGACGACCATCGCGCGCTGTGGCCTTCGCAGCGCGGCGATGTTGCGAGCCGTCAGGGCTCCCGCCCACACTGGCGCGGCGTATAACGCCATCGACCGTACGACCCCCATGTAGAGCCTCCGGGAGGAGTAGATGGGCCCCCCCTGGTTGGGCAGCAAGCGCGACAAAGCAGCAGCGGCGCCCATCAACCGGGGGGCGAGCCGTGTAAAGTGCGGCCCGAAATTCCACCGACTGTCGAGAACGAGTCCGAGGTACTTCATCGTGGACTCAACAGCGATGGAAACCCCTCCTACTATGATGCTGGACCCCTGAGGCGGCTTCATCCTCGGCCCATGAAAACACAGGGCCTCCGATTTGTGCAATGCCACCTCTAGGCCCAGCCGTCGGATCCTACCCACGACGTGCGCGACACCAGCAGTCGCGCGTATGGACGCCTGCCGGTACGACTTCCCACGCGCTGTAACTAGCGTATCGTCGGCGTAACAAATGACGCCGACGCCGTGGAGTAGCGCACCGCGCAGAGCCCAGTCGTAGCCAACGTTCCACAAGAGCGGCCCCAACACCGAACCCTGCGGAACGCCGCACGACGTCTCTCGCCGACCCCATCCTTCTCGACCCGGGTACACCACCGACCTGTCCGACAAATAGGCCCCGACAATGCGTTGGAGGTAGCGCGGCACCCCGTGATACCGGAGTGCCTCTCGGATGGTACTCCAGGGCAAGGTGTTGAAAGCGTTAGCGATGTCGAGCGACACCGCCAAGACCACCTCACCCCGGGCGACTGCCTCCTCTGCCAGGACTCTCACGCGCATGATCGCATCCACTGTGGAGCGCCCCTGGCGGAAACCAAATTGGTTGTCCGCCAAATCCGGCCCCACCCTGGTCATGTGCTGGACGAGGCGGCCGGCAATGATCCGCTCGAAGATCTTACACACCTCGTCCAGCAACACGATCGGCCTGTACGCAGATGGGGAGTCTGCGGGGCGCCCCGCCTTCTTCAGCAGGACCAGCTTTCCGGTCTTCCACCGGCTTGGAAACTGGCCCCGCTCCAAACATGCGCTTAAGAGCCCCGCTAGTCGGGGCCAGAGAGTTCTCAAAGCCAGGACCCATGCACGGCCTGGAATGCCGTCGGGCCTTGGGGCGGTGTTCTTGATGCGAGCCACCGCCACTCTCAACTCTACCCGGGTCACTTCGGGCACGTCGTCGTCAGTCTCGTTGTCCGCGTCGGGCGAATCATGAGGCGGAACCATAGCCGGTGGTGTGTGCTCCGGTCTTGTCGGAAACAACCCACACACCACCTCCTCCAGCAGCTGCGGCTGGAGACTCCGGGACAGTGGGGGGGCCCATTGGCGCAACTTGCCCCGTACCATAAGGTAGGGGCGTCCCCACGGATCTCGGTCCAGAGTCTTCAGCAGCTCTGCATTGGCCTGGGCCTTTGCCCGGACAATGGCCAGCTGGAGGGCGCTTTTCGCCTCTCTGTAGTGGTTGTACAGTTCCGCCTCTTCCTGTTCGGCCGCCGCTGTAAAGGGGCGGCGACGTCTTCTTCGAAACCTTGCATACTGGCGTCGCACCTGCACACAAGTGGTGCGTAGTTGCGCAATCGACTGCGACCACCAGTATACTTGGCGCCTGGATGGTAGCGGCCGGACTCGGGGCATGCTAGCGTCGCAGATGTGCGACATGCTCTCCCGGAACCACTCTGCCTCATCGTCGATGTCACTAGGCCTGTCTGGAGAGTCCAACCAGGCCTTGACAATAGAAGCCTCCAGGAGAGCCTCCCTGTCCAGCCGCTTTAGCGCCCAACGCGGACCATCTCCAACGCCCACCGGGGTCGCTTGGACCGGCCCAACCGAGGTCTGGGCAGAGACGCTGAATCGAATATATCGATGGTCGGACAGCGTCTCTACCTCCTCCAAGACATGCCAGTCCTGGACAGTGCGTGCGAGAGTGGGGCTAGCAAAGGACAGATCCACTATAGACCCACCTCGCTGCCGCACGCACGTCTGCACGGAACCCCGGTTGAGGAGAAGCAGGCCCTGCTCGACCGCCCACTCCTCCACTAACTCGCCCCGTGCATCCGTAGCCGGGGAACCCCAAGCCGTAGATTTCGCATTGAAGTCCCCTAAAACGATCACGGGACGAGGATGGCTGCGACTGACGACCGTGCCCAGTTCTGAGATAATATCCTCCATGTCGGCGAGAGATAGGCTGGGGGGGAAATATACCCCCGCGACCATAACATTTCCCCAAACTGCCGCGACATAGCCCCGCCCTCGGGTGACGGCCTCGAAGGGAAGGGTGTCGGCGGCAGACCTCATAATCAGTGCCACCGAGCGGTTCGTGTCGCACACCCAGTCATCCCTGGGTGGCACAAAGTATGGCTCGGAGACAGCTGTGACGTCGATCGACCACTGTGCCATGCTCTGGAGCAAGAGATCCTGAGCCCTGGCGCAGTGGTTTATGTTGGC